ACTACATAGAGAAATTACAGTAGCGTTCCTGCACTTAGCAAATGAGAAATGTCAAAACAAGGAAGGTACTAAATCCGTATAGGAGCATGACAAATTGATTTTGAAATCACATTTTCTGCAATCAGATGCTGTTTCCATGATTGATTGTTTCAGAATTTTATACACATACAAGGCTTATGGTTTTGAGAAGGACAAAACAATTCAGCAATTCCAGAGAGCACCTGACATAAACTTGCATTAGTTTTTCTTTTTGTCATCATTACCAAAATTATGATGCTTCATGGAGCCGAACAGAATTGTTAATAGACCTAAATTTTTATATGCCAGGTTGCTTTATGCTTTTGATTTCTCTTGCAAATAAATTGAATTTTTTTCCTACTGGTTATCTACTCCATAACAGATACCCCTGAGAACAATCCTGGTTTCTTTATTTGTTATGACTCGCAATTGTTTAACAGTCTTTTAACATATTGTTGGATGATAGAATAGGAACCAAAAAAAAAAGTAAAACTTCTACCTTCTATAAAACTAAGTTACCCTTCATCTGTCTTTCAAGTCTTAAATTCAGTCATATTATGAAAGGGGAGCAGTCAGATGTAAATGTGTAGGACTTTACGTTAATTCTTCAGTAATAAGAACTGTGAAAGTATTCAACAGGATATTTTTTACAGTCAGGCATTCCTGATCTATCATGCAGAAGAAAAATAAAAAAAACCTGTAGCAAAATTCACAGCATAAGAAATTCAAGATCAAGTGTCCAGTCTCTATGCGGGTTTGGACACAATCAAATTTTTACAAAATTAGCACAGTGCTGTAAAAATGATGGAGTTGTTGAAATGAAAAACAAACTGAATAATTTCCCTGAAAACTTTTTCATAGCACTAGGAATCAAAATTATTTTATACAGAAACTAAATGTCAGAAATTAAATTGAAACACTTTCTCCGGGAATCCCTATTTCATCTCAGTGCCCATAGAATAAGCATGTTTCTCTAACACTTTGAACCTCACCAGAAACTAAGACAAAAGGACAGGATTATAGAGAGTAGTAATATAATGTGGGAAAATGCAGGAAAGTTTTTTGTTTGGATTCAAGACAGTTTTATAGTTTTACCTTCATAACAAAATGTTGATTTGGAGTTAGAAGTGACACAAAAAAGCAGCTAGTTTCTGCAAAGGTGTATAACACAGGTAATGATGGGATTCTTGTTCCTGCCCATGGGAGGTGTCATTTTCCTGCATAGCTGAATGCCCCTCGAGAGGTATGGAGGTGGAGTAGTTGGATGAGCAATTCCAAAAGGTGAATCTCACTAATTTTCAAAAAAATCATCTTTTCTCACAAGAAGTATCTTTCATAACCAAAAAGTATGATCAATGCTTTTCATTTTCAGTCAGTTCTACTCAGTTTTTTCCTATCCTGAGCTAAAATTTTAATGTAATGGTGTAAAAGTCCCTGGTGAACAGGCAGATTCTTCTTGTTGTACCAGGTTGGATGGGAAAGTATCTAGACCAGAAGCTATAGAGAAAACAGTACTCTACATGGGTTAAAAATAACTGATAGGTGATTAACTAACTAAATGTTGGGTTCATAAATAACACCAATGGGACAAAAGTAATAATTAAAAATAAAGAGTGAACACCCACTGGGACAGCCCACAATACCCAAGAGAGCTACTGGCTCAGCTATGTCAGTATGCAAGATGAAATAACAGCCCCCAGATAAGAACTCTTTAGTCTTTCTCTCCTCCTCCTTCTCACCTCAGTGACGCCAATCACCCAATGCCTTGGGGTGACCACATTTTTCAAGACTAAAAATGTCCCAGCCAAGCTTCCTGTTACATTTTCTAACTCCATAAATTCCATTTCTTCTTAAAGTATTTTTCTTGAACTAATCTGTTTCCTGATTTGTCATCTCTGCACAAATCTTCATAGTTTCGTCACGAGACTTTTTTTATATCAAATGAAGGTCTCTAATGGCAGGGAACCTCTGACTCACAGATGGACAAAAGCATTGCTATAGAAAGATAATTTCAAAATCCATATTATAAAAAATAGTATAATACATACACTCAATGTATATAAACATACACTAAAATATACATTCAATTACACCTGTATACACATTTGCTTCCATTGTCTCACAATTACTGTTACTTTTCAGTATAACTGGCAAAACAATTGAAGACATTCTGGTTTTTGAACTGTTTAGATAGCATCTTCCAAGTTTCTCTACCGAGTACCTCCTAGAAAAGTGTCTGAATTCAGTTCTCCCTATCCTCACAAACAGGAGAAGATTTGTAGAGTTTAGGGCATCTCAGTGGAGTGGGCCCTTGTGAAACCTTTTTCGCACTCTTTCCCACCTGAGGAGTGGGGAGGGGAGCTTCGTCATCTAGGGTTACAAAAATGTGATTTTGTGATTGTCTCAGGAGGCAAAGTGCTTTGAGACCCAGATGACTTTGCTACAGGGCAGTCGTTTCAACTGGCCATTCTCAGACCCCAGAGTCCACGAACTGCTTCAGAAGTTCAAAGAAGCTTCAGAAGTTCAAAGAAGCTACTTTCAACCATACAAACCCGGAGATAATGCCACTATTACCTTTTTATGATAAGTGAATGCAAAAGGAGGCCAGTGAACTGCTTATCTTTCTCAGCCTATGAATTTGCTGGTCATGTAGTCATTCTGCTGGATGTCTTCCTTCCTACTGCTGATAACTTTCTAAATCTTATCATAAAATTGGTGAGCCTCTTTTACTGTCAGTCACACCTCTTTTGCTGCAGGATAAACATGTGATATGTTCAAGTGGTCCAGACTTCCAACCTAGTTATCACAGTCACAGAAGATGGACAACAACCACATAGATAGAACAAAATATTATTGTGCACTCCAAGATTGCAACACAGTCTATAATTTACACCCATGGATGTTTCTCCCACACTTCTTACCAACAGACTTGGTGTTGCTAAACAAAATCCAGGAATTTCTACACGTTAGAAGTGTTCATCTGTATGGACGCAAGTCCGGCCCCATGCCCCTGGGGTGTAAGCTTTCTGGGACAGTCAGAAGGCTTTGGGATTGAACAGTGCCTCTTGTCACCATGCTGTTTGACCACTGTGTTTCCACCACTTCTCACTGTCCTCCATTGCTCAATATGAAAACCAAATTTCAAACTATTTCTGGTAATCACCCACATCTTTAGGTTTGATGGGCTGTTGCAGACATGTCATGGAGCTTAGTTCAAACATAATTTAGTCAGGACATTTGTGTCACTTACAGTGATTACATGGGCCAATAATAATAAATACATATTAAAAAACCAAATAAGTGAGCTTGCCCTACCTTAGAAGTAATTAAGTACTATATTGCCCAGTTTTTAAAAAGGTAATGGATAATTACTTATGGGGATGCTGTTTATTTATCCTTAGCTACAATTTAGCAGATTAAGTTTGAGTCTCCTAGGCTTGACTGTGCCAATATATTAACAAATATATTTTATTTTTTTTTCCTAGTTTATGAATGTTTCCAGTCTCTATATGACTTCCTTGCACAGCTTTGGCCTAAGTAGTTTCCCACACAGGGGAAGGCTGAGCATGCCTATGGTTTGAGCTGAACAGAGCAGTGGATCATTAACAGCTCTCCTCAGTTACTGCACTTCCATACGCTCAATGTAACTTTCTGAGGAATTTAAAGTCTATTTCTTTAAGTTTTTGTACGCTAATCAGGTTAGGTTGAAGGCACAAAGCCATCACAGTTCTGAGGATTTAACAGCAATTTGGAAAAAGCAATAGAGCTGTGCATCTGGACTTCATTAAAAGAACTAGTGTTACCACAGGAATCAGAAAAACACATAGGCTTCAAGGGTCTGAGTAAAACATGTAAGCACTGGGCATCAGAAGGTATGGATGATGACAAGCTAATTGACAGCTTTTCAGTACACTCCATTCTTTAATCTGAGGTAAAAATGACTCTCCCTGGAGACATTTGACATTGCTGAATAATGACAGCAAGAATAGACATACACATTTCAGTTTAACTGCTGAAGAATCAATGAATGTGTATGAACTGGCTGTTCATACTTCAGTGTCTGGGATGGGAAATGCAATCTCAAACCAGAAGAAATAGCTAACTGAATCATGTCATGCAGCAGGAAAGCTATGATGTCACTATCACTGAAACGTGGTGGGATGACTCGCATGACTGGAGTGCCACTATGGGTGGCTACAGGCTCTTCAGAAGGGACAGGCAGGGTAGGAGAGGTGGAGGGGTAGCTCTATATGTTAGAGAGTCTGTTGACTCTGTAGAAGTTGAAGTCAGTAACAATAAGGTTGAGTGCCTGTGGATCAGAATCAGGGGGAAGGCCAACAAGGCTGATATCCTGGTGGGAGTCTGGTACAGACCACCCAATCAGGATGATGAGGGTGATGAATTATTCTACAAATGGCTGGCAGATGTCTCAAAATCACCAGCCCTTGTTCTCGTGGGTGACTTTAACCTGCCGGATGTCTGCTGGGAACTCCACACAGCAGAGAAGAGGCAGTCTAGGAGATTCCTAGAGTGTATAGAGGATAATTTCCTGCTCCAGCTGGTAAATGAGCCTACCAGGGATGGAGCCCCACTAGACCTCCTGTTCACAAACAGAGAGGGGCTGGTGGGAGATGTGGTGGTCAGTGGACGTCTGGGACACAGTGATCATGAAATAATAGAATTTTCAATACTCAGGGATGCAAGGAGGGCTGTCAGTAAAACCTCTACACTGGACTTCCGGAGGGTAGATTTCAGCCTATTCAGAAGATTAGTTCAAAGTGTACCCTGGGAAACAACCCTTAAAGACAGAGGGGTCCAGGGGGGATAGACGTACTTCAAGGAGCAAGTTTTGAAAGCACAGGAGCAGGCTGTCCCAGTGTGCCAAAAGGCGAGCTGGTGGGGAAGACAACCGGTCTTGCTGAACAGGGAGATTTTGAAAGAAATTAGGGTAAAGAAGAGAGCCTACTGATTATGGAAAAAAGGGCTGATTACTCAAGAAGAATTTAGGAATATAGTTAGGTCGTGTAGAAAGAAAATTAGAGGGACAAAGGCACAACTTGAACTGAATCTCGCCACCTCTGTGAAGGATAACAAAAAGTCCTTCTACAGATACATCAATAGCAAAAGGAGGGGCAAGGAAAACCTCCATTCTTTACTGGACATGGACGGGAATATAGTTATCAAAGATGAGGAAAAGGCTGAGGTATTTAACACCTTTTTCTCCATTTTCAACAGTAAGACAGGTTCTCCTGAGGACAGCTGGCTTCTGGAGCTTGTAGAAAGAGATAAGAACCTGAACAGCCCCCCTGTAATCCAAAAGGAAACAGTTATTGACCTACTGAGCTGCCTGGATTCCCACAAGTCTATGGGACCAGGTGGGATCCACCCAAAAGTGATGAGGGAGCTGGCGGAAGAGCTCGCCAAGCCACTCTCCATCATCTACCAACAGTCCTGGCTCACTGGGGAGGTCCCAGATGATTGGAAGTTGGTAAATGTCACGCCGATCCACAAAAAGGGCCGGAAGGAGGACCCGGGAAACTACAAGACCGTCAGCCTGACCTCAGTGCCTGGCAAGGTTATGGAGCAGATCATCCTGAGTGCAATCACACAGCATCTACAGGATGGACAAGGGATCAGACCCAGCCAGCATGGGTTTAGGAGGGGCAGGTCCTGTCTGACCAACCTGATCTCCTTTTATGATCAGGTGACCTGCCTGGTGGATGAGGGGAAGGGTGTGGTTGTGGTCTACCTGGACTTCAGCAAAGCTGTTGACACTGTCTCCTACAGTATATTCCTGAAAAAACTGGCAGCCTACAGCTTGGACAGGGGCACTTTGTGCTGGGTTAGGAACTGGCTGGAGAGCCAGGCCCAGAGAGTGGTGGTGTACGGTGCTGCATCCAGTTGGCGGCCAGTCACTACTAGTGGTGTCCCGCAGGGATGAGTGTTGGGCCCAGTTCTGTTTAATATCTTTATTGATGATTTAGATGAGAGGATTGAGTCCATCATCAGCAAATTTGCAGATGACACTAAGTTGAGGGGGAGTGTTGATCAGCTGGAAGGCAGGAGGGCTCTGCAGAGGGACCTGGATAGGTTGGAGAGTTGGGCTGATTCCAACGGGATGAGGTTCAACAAGGCCAAGTGCCGGGTCCTGCACTTTGGCCACAACAACCCCACGCAGAGCTACAGGCTGGGGACAGAGTGGCTGGAGAGCAGCCAGGCAGAAAGGGACCTGGGAGTTTGGATGACAAGAAGCTGAACATGAGCCAGTAGTGTGCCCGGGTGGCCAAGAAGGCCAATGGCATCCTGGCCTGGATCAGGAACAGTGTGGCCAACAGGTCCAGGGAAGTGATTCTTCCCCTGTACTCAGCACTGGTGAAGCCACACTTCGAGTACTGTGTCCAGTTCTGGGCCCCTCAGTTCAGAAAGGATATTGAGGTCCTAGAGCAGGTCCAGAGAAGAGCAACGAGGCTGATGAAGGGATTCAAGCACAAGTTCTGTGAGGAGAGGCTGAGGGAACTGGGGTAGTTCAGCCTGGAGAAGAGGAGGCCTAGGGGAGACCTCATCATTCTCTACAACTACCTGAAAGGAGGTTGTAGCCAGGTGAGGGTTGGTCTATTTTCCCAAGCAACTATCAGCAAGACAAGAGGGCATGGTCTCAAGTTGTGCCAGGGGAGGTTTAGGTTAGATATTAGAAAGAATTTCTTTACAGAAAGGGTAATCAGACATTGGAATGAGCTGCCCAGGGAAGTAGTGGATTCTCCATCCCTGGAGGTTTTTAAGATGAGACTGGATGTGGCACTTAGTGCCATGGTCTAGCAACTGCAGCGGTAGTGGATCAGGGGTTAGACTTGATGATCTCTGAGGTCCCTTCCAACCCAGCTGATTCTGTGATTCTATGATTCTATATTTTTTTGTTTAAAAAAAGTTTGCTGTTTCTTATGGAGGGTAGAAAGCATTTTAAAAAGAAAATTCTGGGCATTAGCAATTTATTTATCTTGCTCATTGTTTATGCTCCTGATCAAGCCTAAGAAGGAGAGCTTCCACATCTCCCCAGAAAATCCTTCCCCAATTACCTTCTCCAAATCAGATTAATTTCACCAATATGTTTTTATTCATCGCCCTCTGCCCTAGCTGGATCTTACCCACTGTGCTTAGAGAGCACTGTTGCCAACACCAGAGGTCTCCTTCTTATGGAAAAAGAGTCAAAAAAAAAAAAAAAGAAAAGAAAATGACAAGGTAGTTTGCCAACTTTCTTATCAAATCAGCAAAACCAAAGCTTTAAATTCTCCTCCTTATGTAGTTTCCAGTAATGAACTGAAAAGCCTCTAGAGAAGAACAGACAGCCTCTGGCTCAGAAAGCTCTGCAGCCTGCAAGTAGGTCTTGGGAGTCCAGTTAAGCATGCATGGAGCTGCAGCTACTCAGGGCGGGGGGAGTGTCTCATTTCTTGGGGTAAGAAAGGGAAAACTTCTTATTCATATGTAAAGCAATCCCTTCCTATCTTATCTCTCCTCTCTCCACTATGTAAAAATATCCTGGGCCAGAGAGAACAGTGGACTTCAGAGGGAGAAAGGGCTCTGGGAAAAAGGCATTAATCATTGTCTCTGTGTCTTTGTCACTATTATCCCACCAAGAGCAAGCACAGAGGGCAGCAGTAGGACCACTGGACTCCTGGAAAGTTCTGTCTATCAAACATCTCAGAGATCCCCATTTGCTCAGGTGTGTTCAGTGCTGATAACACAACCACAAGCAGCTCTGGAAACAAAAGGATACTTTCAGACTACTCATTCACTCAGTCACAGAATGAGGACACAATTAATATTGTATAAGAACTGCTGATGACCTGCAGGATGTGAAGAAAGGAGGCTTCATTATTAAAGAGTATTTTATCTTTTACTTGAATAAATATTTCTCAATTTCCACATAATGCTATCGATAGCAAGCCTGTTATTTGGCATGTCATAGTCTCTTTCTTACCTAGGCTTAGATAAACATAGGTGCTATCATTCACTCAGAAACATTTTTCCCCTTAAGTATGTATAAACATGAATTTATCTACCTCCTACTTCAGAGACTGCTTTTAAAAGATTTTTTTTCTACAAATCTATAAAGTTAATGAGAAGTATTCTTCATTCTTGCTAGTGATCAGAGAAGGAGGAATTAGATACCAAAGATAAAACAAGTTAAATAGATAAAGGTCCATCTCCCTCACATGCTGCACAGATATATCAAACCTCAAGATTCAATGTGTAGCTAGCGAATAGTACATGCAGAAAGTCAGCTAAAGGAAAGCTTTGAGCTGTGAGCTTGTGAGTGAGCTCGTTACTGTCCTGGTCAGAGCACAATCTGGTCCCCATCACCACTTCAACCTACAACACTCTCAAAAAGCATCACCCACGCCTGGCCTTAAACATCTGTCCCTTCAGAGGGGCCAGTGCAGGACATCTCCTCCAGGGAACACACGCACATTACATGAATAAACTGGCCACATGACAGGGCTGTTTCTCCACATAAAAGCTACAAAAATAGCAGCTGTTCTGAAGAGAGGGAACGTAAGAGGAGTTGGTTCAGATGCTGGTACTAAACCTGAGTTATTTCTTTTTTTTCCCTAACTATATTCTTGAGTGACTTAAAAAATGTAGACTTTTTGCTTTCATTTACTGTGGGGTTTTTTTTCCTATTTAAAAAAATATGTACTTCTGACAAATATTTTATAATGTAAATGGACTTCAGCAGGCTAGTGTCTAAATTGGACCTGCTTTTTTATTTCAGCTTGTCCACTAATGGTATTACTAAGTCTCTAAGGATCTACCTTGTACTCTTAAGTCCTCTTTTTTCAATATTTTTATTTCCACTGCAAGATATCTCCAGGTCACAGTGGTAAAAAAAAAGAAAAAGAAAGATGGGAAAGTTAAGCCCACACATTTAGAGATGCAGATAAAAAAATCTTTGGACCATAACTTTGTTATTTGATATAAAGTGCATGAACTACTTTAATAAAATTTTTAAATGTTAATACATTGGTATGGTGCTGTCCCATTTTTTTATAATGAGTCCCACTCATCAATTTTATATTCCTGATGTGGCAAAAGCCACATCTACATTAAGATTTTGTGTCCATGCACTCCTATTTAAAACTTATTTGAAAGGTTTTTAGAGATAATACTCTGAACAGATAACTGGGTTTTGTCCCCAAGTCTTGGATTTCATTGAAGTCCCACCGTGATGTCTTTTTTCATGCATGAGCATTCTAATTCTCATTTTAAGAACATTACCAGGTCTCACAAAGGACAGTTCAAAACCAACACTAAAGCATAGTCTAACCATCTAGGGATCAGAAGACGAAGAAAGCAAGTTCCTCCAGTTAATACCTGAACCTTTAAAAGCATTGAAACATGTTTAAAAGTTTTGAACTGGAATACTCGATATGTAAATAATCATACATTTAAGTTTGCAAACTCACTCATAGGGAGCAAAGTGTTACATAGACTGCACTGAATCAGACAAGAATCACTAGGAGTAATTTTTAAAAAAAAACAACTTCAGAGATTACATGTTCCCATTTCTGATAATGGATTCAAAATTATATGGGTTTTTTTTTCCAAATTAATGTCACTTGACAGTAGGCCACCAGATTTTTAACTGATCACAAAATCCTCATGAAGAGGAAATAGATATTACTGAAATATCTACAGAAGATCTTGATGTACAAAAATTTAATATTGTCTATAATTATTTCAGTAGCAGAAAAAAAAAAAAAAAGGTAATTTATTATCCATGTTGTCATTTACTGAAGGAGTCTAGGAAAGTTTTTAGAAGAGTCACTTCATTCACATGGAAATTCTCAGAATGTACAGGTGTTCTTTCACAAAAAAAAGTCAAACCACTTCCCAACCTATATTTAATAATTTTTCATGTTGTATATAAATGTATATATGTGCTGGTTTATAGATGTTTATTTTTACATATTAATATAGAAATTACTTTTCTTGTAAGGATGGAATGAATTCACCTTTTTGATTTATCACACTCCAACTAGGAGACATTCATCCGTATCAGAAATTAAAGTAACAAGACACAGATTATATTTTTATGGAAATAATTTCAAAACAGACCTGATATAAACAATTTTGATAAGTTTTTTCAAAACATATCTGCACTGGCAAGCACACATGCTTCATGAAGAGATGCAGGTACTGTACTAATAGGCTGCTGCTGCAGGAGCCTAACAACACCAGGTGAGATCCTCAGGCTTTCTCTGAGTCATCATTTACACCTGACTGTGCCCCAGCTCCACCATCGTTACCAATACACGTAAAGCACAGGAGAGGTGTGTGAACGTGCAGAAAGTATGTGTGGCACCTCTGCTCTTTTTTCAACCCCAAGGCCCACTGGTTAAAAACACTGATGAGAGCTGAAGGGCTAGAAGACTTAAAATTGCTGTTTCTGCCCAGAGGGACCTGAGCTTGCATCAACGAGGTCCCAGGTAAGCCATCTGCAAAATGCTCTGAGCACAGCCGGCGGGCTGCTCCAGGCCAGCGCTCCCTCAGCCAGCCCTCAGAAATGATCAAATATTGACTAAGACAGAGAGAGGTCATGAATAAACAGTGTTCATGGGAAAATGAAGTTGGGCTTCTGATGCTGATCCTTCTCACATTTCAGGAGGCAGTGCAGAAGGGGATAGGGTGCAGGTCACAGACCTATTCCCTGGCATTTTCAACTGACTGCTGTGCACAACTCCTACCTTCCTGTATTGTTTTTGTAGCATTACCCATTTTGATGGATGTTGCATAAAGATATCAAGCATTTAAGAACTAATTCCCCTAGCTCCCAAAGCCTACAGGTTCAGTGTTGTTCACTGTAAGTTGTTAACCCAAATGGCTTACTGAAGGCCCAAAACATTACTCAAATTCTATTAAATAATAAAACTTCATTACTGCTGCCTATTCCATTTGTACAGCTCCAAGCATCAACCAAGAGTTACATCCTCATTTCCACAAGCCCATAGCACAGTGGGACTTGATGATCTTATAGGTCTTTTCCAACCTTAACCATCCTATGAGAACAATTCTGTGACACAGACACTCACACAGAGGCTGTACCAGTCCAGTCATAAACTGTGTCAGCACTATGGTACACCAGAACAAGGGTACCTTGTCCTCAGTATTTTCATCCCCCACATTAAAAGAGCCACCTGTTTGAATTTCCAAAACTGCGTCACTAAAGTACATTTCCAATATCCAGGTATGTAGCTCAAATTTCCCAAGTCCTAAGAGTCCAGCAGGTTCCAGATAAAGTTGCATCTACAGAGCATTCTTGAATGTTTTACCATCATATTTAGATATAAATATAGATATAAAGTTAAATCTTAAAAAACTCTTAAACAGTGTCTCCTGGTAATAAAAGGTATTCTGAATGCAAACAGCCAAACGAGTTGCTGAAATCAGTCTTGTCAAGAGCTGAAAGTTTTAAAGGCCTAGAAACATTACACAGTCCCAACCAGTATTATTCACTGTAATGAAGATGGATGTTCTAAACAAATTAAAATACCTTTAAGAAGATAGACACACATATAAAATGTTGCCCTGAGGAGAAGAGGGTAATGGTTCTAGACTGGCTTTTCAGAACTATTGTCTTGTTGTACATAATTTATATATGTAATAAGTACCTTTTTTTTTTTAATTTTCCTTCAATTCAGAAATACCTGTAGTGTGGCATATTCTGTATGTTAAAGGAAGATAAGAAATAGTACAGAAAAAAAAAAAAAACAAAACAAAAAATCAGAAGTGTTGAGAAGTGATGCTTACATTATCTGATTCCCCTTCCTCACACCTCACTGAATACAACCAAAAAGCTTTAGAGTCAGCATTAATTAACTCTTGTCACCTTTTACCTTAGGTGGATCCCAGATAGTTTTAATGAAGAGACTATTCTTTTATATTCAACAGAAAAATGCATTTCTATGAGATTTGAGTCTCGTAAATCTTTCTTTCTGTAAATCTACAGGACGTGAGAATAGTCCCTGGTAATTACACAAGAGATGGCATATATGGGCCCCAGCTCAGACCTCTGAAGTTGTTCATTGGAAGACAGTTTGAAACCAGCATCTCCCAACATACTATGTGAAAGGTCTGAGTTCAAATCTCTGCTGTAAATAAGAAAAAGAAATGTTAAGGAGCTGCCTCGTACTTATTCACAGAGGTCAGCCCAATTTTGAGATGGGGGCATAGGCTCCCCAATTAATGAATCTATTTGCATTCATTAAGAAAGCCTGAATTCAAAGCAAAACATCTGTTACAGAATGTGAAGAAAAAAACAGAGTAAAACAAACAAACAACCCCCCTAAAAACTAAACCAAAACCTAAAAAGGCCACACAGCTTTACTTTTGCATTTCCTCTTCTTCACATCTTTTTCTCATTCCCCGCAGTGATGCTTAGTGCTTACATGAAGCAATTCCAGCTGCATGGCTTTCTGTTCCTTTTCAAATTCTTAGGCAATCTGAAAGGAGGAACTCAGCAACAATTCTTCTCCTCAAATTCCTTGTTTCTGTGTTCATTAAAGGATGTGCTCTATAAAGCCTAGCTCTAAACATCCCTGGTATAGCTGTCTGCTTTGGAGCTGTTCGCATGAGCACTAATTTGTTCTCAGCAGAGAACATCAGGAACATCAGGGCACGATTAACCTTCTTCAGCACAGCTATCCAGGCTGGGACTCAGGTGTTTCAGCGTAGGTGGCTAATGGTATTTTTGATGCCCTAGGATATTCCACCCAACCACCACCCCTGCAGGGCACACAGTTCCCATAGCCCATAGCACAGCAGACAGCCCAGTGTAGATGTCACGAATAACCTAAGCCTGCACCCCCTTTGTTGTTTTGGTCTGGAGCACTAGAGCAATGTAGAAATAAATCACCAAACTGTTCCCGTTTACTATGTGCCAGGTTGTTTTGCAGAGAGGTTTTGGTGAGTGGAAACTGGTTTCATTTAACAGGTTACAGCTAAGCCAAAAAACCCACTGCACATTCATGGATGTGCTCCAATATTAGAGACATAAGAATCTAAACCCATGACTGATCCATTCAGACCAAGGAACGTATGTTAGGGAGACCTAAACTGGGGACCAGACTAAACCTATGCTGAAGTAAAAAAAAAAAAAAGATTGCATGTAGAGATATTTTAAAGTCCTCAGCACCAGATGTTTTGATCTACTGATCTGCTTCTGTTTTACTTAGTTTCTTGATAAGCTGTGTCCCATGCACTGATAAGTGAATTAATTACTGAGAATTATTCACTTATTGTCAGGTTTATTCTACTTTAATTCTCTACCCTCTGTACTCTACATTTACCTCTCAAAATAACAGAGAGAACAATTAGATGATTTTATTATTACTCCAGTCAAAGACAAAATATCAAATTAATTGATCAATTATCTAAATGAAAATTTTAAAAGGTGCAGCCAGGTTTCGTACTTAGACAATGGTGGGAAAGGCCATTGGAACTGCAGGCAAAACCACTGATTTCTTAGTATTTATCAGAAGTTAAATGTCATAAACCAACACAGCAGCAAATAAGAAACAGTGTACATGGTTCCCCCTCTGTTGAAAATTAAAAGAGCCAATTTTAGTTCCAAGAAAATAAAATCCCTATAACAACATAATTTTTATTTAACCTTGCAGACTTTAAAATCAATCAGACCTTTGATCTAGAATTTAAATTTTTTTGGGGGGGCCACTTATCCCAAGTTAAGTCTTACTACTAATTAAAATTACAACTTTGAAAGGACAGGTAATATTTGAAATGTTTGTGTAGTGTATTATCCCTTGATGTCCAAAGCCAATCCTTGCTGAGAAACATGAAAAGCATTCTTTTATTAAGGGATTCCAACCCAATAGAATCATTCAAAAACTTACGCTTTTATAGCTGCTATCATGACTCATTTCTTTGATTTGTTATGAAATTATCTAAGTTTCAGCTTTTTAATCAATGTCAGAGGCCTTTCTTACAGTTTGGCAGCCAAAAGCCTGGCTTACACTTTTGGCAGACTCTTGCTATTTGTGTCATAGTAGACAGTCTATACTGAACAGCATGGATGTGCAGATTTCCCCTCATGCACCTATCAAAATAGAGCAAAGTTCTTTGAATCCTAAGGTATTTGCATTCTCTATATGCATTTGTATGGTAACTATGCACTTTTCTATGTTCTATTGAAAATGCTCACATTTGGCTACTGAAGGTAGTCACCCTGAAACATGATTTAGATGGCAAGTCTGAAATGTATCAGAAAATGCAAAAGCACTATGTATTTCTCCTAGCACAATAGTTAAAGTTCTGACAAATTGTAGCAAAATCATATCCCTCCAGTCAATCATATATTCTGTGCAGGAATTCAGCCGTGATTGTAAGGTACATCTCTCAGGACTAGTACACTAGCAAGCTAAATTTGCCTGAAATTCAAATACATAACACATAAGGCTTTTTTTCCCAGCTGAGTTTAACAGCCACACAGAGGAGCACCCATGCCCCCATGTTTCGTCTGAAACTCAGCTCAGGAGTCTAACAGGCAGAATGCAGATGTATGCACCAGACAGTGAAATGTAAAAATGTAAATGTAAAGATTCTGTAAGCTAGCTTTGCAGGTGACTTTTGAATTTTTTTTATTAAGCTAACCTGAGCTATTCTCTCCTGCTATTGCATGAAGATTTTCTTTTCCTAATGCCTTCTATAAGCTTCCAGTCATATAGTACCACTTTTAACAAAAAAAAATCCAAACAAAATCTTCCATCTGTAGTTATGCTAAAGTTTATTGTTATAAACAAGGTCACCAATAATAGGTACAACTGCTGTCTCTCTTTTAAAGGTGGTGGTAAAAACAAGTAATTACCTTTAAGAAATCAATTATCTGAAAAAAAGGCTCTTCTACCTAAGACATAAATATACTAAGAAGCATCTCAGAATCTGAATTAAGAAGACGGGGAAGATTCATGTCTCATTAAGAGAAACGTCACAGAAATAAGCACCAGACAACCATAAAAGACAAACTGTTAATTGTCTCTCTCAGTGTAGGCCTTTGTATGCACTTACTGCTATTCTTGTTTTATAACTGCTCTAGTTAATGGATAAATCAATTATGTAATTGTTGGCACAGGGAAGGATCCTTACAAGTTTCATCTGCCTGGATTTATTTGCTGAAGTGACCCTAAACTCACTTGAATATGCTGGCAGCCTTATCATCAAAAAAATTCAAGACAACAAATCCGAATACTGCTGTTTGGGATGCAAATATATATTTAGGTTGCTATTTCTCTACTTAAGTGTTGATTGTTTTCATTTTTGAGGTATGCTGACAGCATCAAGAATCAGACTGGGGATGTTAATCATCACCAAAATGATGCCGAGTTCACTGCTGCTTCCTTCTCTGAATGTCAATGACAAATGCTTAAAATCACACTAACATGTGCAACAGAAATAGGCAAAAGATGCCAGTTGGGTTCACAGAGCATAGTCCACATAGTCCATCTCATCTTTAAGCACCATAACTTGGGTGGAAAACAAACAGTAAAACAGAAGTTGTGCAGCTAAGTACCTCCAACAACCATCTCTGAATTGCTGCTTTCCTTGAGGATGTTTCTCACTAGACTGCAAGTGGATTAAATCCTAGAAGCACAGTGTAAAAAGAAAAACAGAAGAATGTTTGAAATCCAGCACTCCTGGATTTCAGGAAAGACTCACCTGCCTACTTGATAATGCTGTACCTCCTGCAACATGCCAAGTTTTAACTGTGCCTGTAAATATTTCAAAGTTTGGGATATGGTTTTAGTTCCCTAACAACATGTGAGGATTTCTTGATACAGATATTCACACCTGTGTTAAATTGTGGCATTGTCGGCCTAATAACAAGTTGAACTCAGAAGGGCTCAGTTCTGTTTTCAGACAGCATTTTTTGTAATCTAAGGTTTTATACAGCTAGCTGCTGAACTAATGACTCACAACCACCCCTCTTAAAATAGAAGAAAAAACCAAAGACAAAGCTAGCACTAAGTACAGGTTAATTTTTTACAACCTGCTGACCCACAAGGCCATGAAAGTGAGTAGCTGTTGTCCCACTTGTCCTTAGCCAAGCACAAAGCCTGAGCACGATGGTCTCCCCCTACACATGATTTCCAGAAGTTAAACTCCAAAATGAGAGCTGGATGCTAGTCTCTCAGCAGAGGCTGAAGACCAAAAACAGACACATTTTATCTGTGCTGTTTCTGAGGAGACAGCATCAAGCATCCCCACACAATCCAGATACATGCTCTGAAAGGGGAGGGAGGAGGAGAAAGGAAGCCCTTGCAGCCACTGTGAGCTGGAGATCCCTCAACTCCTCTCCCAGACCACTCACTCTGGGTTCCCGCAGCATCACAGACATTCACAGGACTAGGAAAGTCACCCCTGGTCCTGAGGCATGCTGGAGATTTCAAAATACTCCAGTAAAAAATTTTAGTTTAAACAAGAAGCAAGTTCAAGTGCAAATTGAGACTCTGACACAGGTTTTATGGAAAATATTAATACAGCATGGTTTTAAAACCTAAATAGCCCCTTAAAAGACTAGGATTGAAAAATAAAAGCTGCTAAAACATTCTGTTTGAAAACAAGAGTAAAAAAGGAGAATAAGGTATTCTGCCAAACCGAGATCTTGTAGCTTTCTCTTCCTTTCACCTACTCCTTATTACCTTACTTGTTGTTCTATTAGACATATCATAGTCACACAGATGTAGCACTAATCACAGCGTAGGAGTTGCCAGCTGCCTGGGAGGATTAAGCTACTCTGACTTTATCCCAACAGGCACCAAACAGTGACTTAGGAGAGACAGACATTTAGCTGACCCCTTTGTAAAGAAACAGGTGCCATCTGAGCATGGGAAATCCTTTCTGGTGCAGTCAACTCCCCCTCAACAGTTGACAATTTAAGGTGAAAAAAAATTAGCAACATCTATCATTTTGCACACTGAGGTTATGCAGAAAGTGCTGAGGCTTCTCATGAGTGTTGCTTGCTGAAAATTATTATGGCTTAGCATGTTACCCCAGTAAAAAAAAAGTCTATATTAAATAAATAAAATAAAAAAATAAGGATGATTGGGGGTCATCAATTGTACTTTATGTTTCAGATTTGATTTTAGTCTAAGATCTACACTTGAAGATACTTCTGCCACAAAGTTTGGGCACAAGCAAAGAATAATCAAAATTCTTCCCTTGAAAACATTTCAAATTTTGAAGTAAGCCTGAGGGGTAAACCTTTGACAGCTTTTGAAAACTTGAGACTGGTACACGTTTCCACAGGACAGCACACAAGAGAGAAAAATGTGAATTAAGTCAGGGCAGAGAGAATTGGGACACATAGCAGGAAGCAAATACTCCAATGATGCCACAAATTTCTTCTGGACCCACATAGAAAGACGGTATTAGCCATACCCTACTGCATGTCCTGTGCCCATCCCAGAGCTGTAAGATCCGAAAGGGATCACGGAGAAGCTGCCCTACCTCAGCCTCTCATGCCTTCTGAGCCTTGGGGCACAAGAAACCTGTCTCACCACAGTGGGCACAGAAGGGGATCTGTACCGTCACCCCTGTTGGGAGGGAAGGGTTAAAAGTGGAAGAATGGTGAGGAGGCTGGTTGATTTGCTCAAGTGACCATGCAGCTGGAAATGCTGAGGTCTGAAAAATATCAGTGTGGGTAACATCATATATTATGCCTACTGCTGTTTATCCTCGGTCAGTTTTGTGAAGTAGAATCTCTGTGTAGAGATAACAGAGGTGTTTACAGAAACTTGGAGGCACTCTCACAGACATGCTTGAGCTCCTTGTTTTGGGAGAGAGATCAAAGCTCACAGATCATAAAAAACATAAGGGAGATCACAGCATGGTGGTAAATTACATGTGTATGGGCCCTTGATAAATGGGTGCAAACAGCAGACCTGCAGCCCACCAGAATGGACTGAGCCTGATGGTGCTGCGTTCCCTCTTATGTGTCCAGGTGTTGCTGTGGGATCCTCCAGTTAGAGAGGTAATGAAATAAATTTACTCTTTGTGTTTCACTCATGGTTTTGTGGCTGTTCCGGCTGCCTGTCTGTGTCAATTCTCACCCCCCCACCGCGGATGCCAAGCATGTTATGGCACGTGTTTGACTTTGGCTGAGTACCATGGCTCCACAACAACATGCCAGTCCCACTGCCCTGCCCTCCACTCCCCATGCTTCGCTCAGAGAATATGTCTCCTTCCTCCTCTGCCGTCGCCACCCCACACTCCTCCTCTCGCTCTCCACCACTTCCATTTCAAGCTGGAGCAAAGTGTGGCTGTGCAAGCTGCACCTGGCAACAGGTGCCAGGAGGACCGCAAATCTTCGTGCCACCAGAAATGAAGATTCCACCTCATTCAAATGAGTCTGTGTGTCATGGTGAATTTTGCATCCATTAGCAGCTTCAAATCATATCTTAAGACTTCTACTCATGGTTTCTTATGTCTTGGTCACTCACCCTACAGACCCCTGCAATGTCAGTGACATTGCATACATGAACAGCTCTCCTAAAGGCATGCAAGAAATTCAAGGAATGAAGTCTAAACTTTCTCATCCTCCTGTGATTCTCATTTCATAGGCTCAGCAACATCACAAGCTTCCTTTACGCTCTTAAATATTAACACAGCTATTCGCTTGATGTGAGATTCCTCATTATCATATGAATAAATGATTAATTGTCACCATACCAAGCAAGTGCAACTTTTATAACTCTATGAATCAGCACTGTGCCAAACCCTTCAAGAACAATAAGTGTTCAAGCATGTATTGCACTTTATTGCTTCCTTGATCGTTTAAAAGGACTCTCTGACAAACAACCATTTACACAGTCTTGAAAGTTTACTGTCAATGTACTGAGCAGTTCTGTACTTCAAAATGCAGACATACCTTCTTTCCCAGCTATTTAATGGTAGCTCTTTGGCAGAAAACTTCACAACTTGTCCAGAAAATGCTACTATTTGTGATGGGACATCTTGTGTATTACCAGAAGATAATTTTAATGAAACTTTGAGCGTAGTTTTAAGTACTGTTCTAACAATTATGCTGGCTTTGGTGATGTTCTCCATGGGCTGCAATGTGGTACTTAAGAATTTCTTGCACCACATAAAAAGACCCTGGGGTATTTGTGTGGGTTTCCTTTGCCAGTTTGGAATTATGCCTCTCACAGCCTTCTTGTTATCTTTGGCCTTTAACATCCTTCCTATTCAAGCTGTCGTGGTGCTGATCATGGGATGCTGTCCAGGAGGCACAGCCTCCAATGTCATCGCCTACTGGGTGGATGGAGACATGGACCTAAGGTAAGAGCAGCCATTCTCTAAGTACTTCATGTGGCTCCTTACATTGTAAAGTCTGTCTTGAAAAGGACTGTCTCACCTGTCTGAATTTTTTCTTAGCCTCCTGGCACATGCGTTGTGGAGGTTCTTCTTGTAAAGATGCTTAGTTACTGTTATAGCAGTAAATAAAAGCAGAATAACAAATATCCTTGGGAATATTTGTTCATTGGGAATTCATGCAGAACATATCACAACAGAATTGTGTACATTAAAAAATGTCTTTATTGTAAAACTTCAGATCCTGCAGCAAATATCCTTTATGAAGACAGCTAAGACTAAAGATTATGAAAACTTTGCCCAAGTTAGAACCATTATTTTTCTTCCAAGTAAAAAAAATAATAATAACATAGAATTTAGGATAAGAATCCTCTGTACAAAATAGTGGCTATGCAATTGTTCTTAGAAAAAGAACACCTGTGGAAAAATATTATCCCTCCTTTTGTGTTCTATACAATGAAAAGACAGGCATTGATTTTCTCTTTGGGAAGTAATACAAATGAATACCACTTGTGATAATTCTATCTGCTCCTTGAAGTTCATGCAAAGTCTTCAAACTGAGGGAATATTTTACAGGCTAGAAGCCACTACATAAGGCAATCCCACATACTGGGGGCAATGAAAAAAACTCCTTTGTGGCAAAGTGTGATGATCTGAATGACAGGGTGCTCTGAACTCGGAAGCAGATATGTAAGGCACCTAATCTGGCCTAGGACACCAAACACACAGGAGAATTAGCCCTACTCTTGATGCAAATTCCATGGGGGGTTCATTAACTCTAAGAACCTTTAAAAATGAGCTATCTTTTTATTTTTATATCCCGATTACTTTTCTCTAAAATAAACATAATCATTTCTCTCTTTCCCACAGAGTAACATAAATTGGAACATTCATCCCATTTATCATATGCCAGTCTGAACTAGAAATGGAAAAAATAATAGAAGTAAGAAAGATGTGGAGCTAGAGCAAATAGGCTAAGAATGTTAATGTTTGTAGCTTTAATACGACATTTTTCCATCCTTTGAAAATAGTGAACTTTTCTGTCACATACAGGTGTTAATGTAATACCAACTTTCAAATTATGTATGAGGTCAGCTCTGCTAATCATCAACTTCCTCACTGTAGAGGAAAGACCTATGATATTAAGAATCTGTAAGACACTTAATTTCAATTAATACAGGTCTAATAAACCACAGATGGAAAGATATCCAGTACAAGTCTGAAATTCTGTTCCAGTCTCACCTCAGACGAATGCACTGAGCTAAACTATGCTTTCTCAGCTCATTATTGTTCAGAGCCGCACCACTAAAATCTGTGGTAAAAATCCAAATTGATAATGCTATAAATATGAGTAGGGTTTCTATCCCATAATGCTGGCAGAAGGTGAAGTAAATTGGAAATGCTTTTAAACGTTATTCTTCAGGTAAAGACCTTTAATCTGAAGAAGTCAAAGCCTTTTGGTCAGTACCTTTGTGACAAAGTTTCAGGGACCGGAGGGTATAAGAGGTAAGCAGATTGTCAACCTAAGCATCTTCTGTTCTCTATAGAATAGCACTAGAAGTAGTGTGGCTGGTTTCTGGAACCACTACAGTATTACAGAAAGCCTGACCATCATATCAGACAAGGTTTTGTTTTTAACTGGTAATATTTTATGTTTACACATTAAAATCCATGACCCTTGTCTACATCCTGCTTCAAAACATCACTGTGCAAATAGACCAGAAGTTAGAGCAGGAATTAGTTTTATAATTGGTATTACAATCACAGTGAGGTGAAGTATGATGTTTCACACCTTTCTTAGTAACTCACAAGCAACTGATATCCTCTAATGCTTCCCATAGAAACATCTTTTGATATTTCACAAGAACAACTGCTTCTGTGAGCAGAGGGACTGGGGTTAGAGGATATCCAGACTTTGGAGAAAGATGTACATTCAGGGATAGTATAAAGATGCAGAAAATAGAGAGATAGGAAAAATAAGATTTTTCATCCATTTGGGACTTCATCAGACCTGAATTGTAGACCATGACTCTTTTTCTCTGTAAGAAATTTTTGTAAGAACTCTCTTGCCAGAGGCTTCTGCAAAATCCTTTTCAATTACTCTAAAGAAGAGAGTGACAGGAACCAAAATTAGTACAAATATTCCTGTGGTTTTTGTATTAATTGTTCTATATTTCCCTGGATCTGCTCAGTTGTGGGTCAGGGTCAATAGTCCCTTTTCTGAGGACAAGCAGCACAAAAGAGAAATCAGAAGTGAGGCTCAGAAGGAAGCTTTCAAAGGCTCTTAACTAGAACCCTCTCTCAGTATTTTTATGCCAGAAAAGTGATTTGTAGGCATAATTTTTATCCATTCTATTCAGATTGTGACAGTTTCCTCCTTACTTTGGATGTCTTGCCTTTTCCTCTTTCTTCATTCTCTAGCAGAATGCATATTTTTGTACAAGGTGTTTCAGAAAATAGAAATATCTTTGCGTAAAGGAGGAAACAATACTTTGCTAAGCTTCACTGAGCAGTTCTCAGCACCTATTCTTTGGCCTACAGCAAAACAAGCCAGAAAAGGGAATTTTATTGCATCAAATATCCTAGACAATGAAATATTTTTTTATGCTCTTGAATTCAGACTGAAATTTGAACACTCTAGAACTGTTGATGTAATGGAAAGCTCCATTTGATGTTCATCTCTCCCCTGTGCACCTTGCCACCCTCTCAGAAACCAACCAGACAGGCAGCATGCAGACAGACTTGCCAACAGACCTTCCCACTGACCACCTATCTGACTGACTCATTTGTACCAAAATTATGGTTCTGTGGCTGCAGAACACCTTGATATTTCATGCTCCTTTCTTTTCAGCAGAAGTCATTCCTTTCATTTGTCTTCTTTCTAATCTGATATACAGGATAAATTGACTGCAGCCAGCAGCAATCCTTACCCAATCATTCGTAAGGTGTGAGGTGGTAATAAGAAAATGAGAAAGACTATGGGCTAGCATGAGATGAACTGTCACTGTAACCAATTTCTTTGCAGCATCAGCATGACAACTTGCTCCACACTGCTTGCAATGGGAATGATGCCACTTTGCCTCTTTATTTACACCAAGATGTGGACTGATTCTGATGCAATTGTACTCCCCTATAAAAGCATTGGTGAGTCCAGTGGACCAGCTGCCCTTCTGACTGTCTATCCTCCCTCCAGTGACAATTACCTTTATACCATCATCCTGCAGAGTTAGGAAGATATCACATCAAATTTTTTAAAATATTTGTCTTCCTACTTTCTAATAACCTTCATGGGAATTAGGTACCAGAAATCACTTCCCATCATCCACAAGACTTGAAATCATTATAAATATTGTACAGATATTTATCACAAGATTGTGCATGTTTTTCTTTCCAAATGACTTTGAGACCTGTGTGATATTGGAATAAGAATATAGAATAATTCTTATAGGAATAGTTGCTTCTTCTGGATGAAAGTGTTTGTAACAGCTTTAAGACACAATCCTGTGAAGCGCTAAATGCTGAGGCCATAATCTGGCAAAATACTTAAGCACACATGGATAATTAAGCAAGTGATTAAAACTACTGAGTCTCTTTGAAAAGCTGCAATCTACACTGCCAGGAGTGGCTTCATTTGACTTCCTGTCAAAAATCTCATCCAGCTACAAAGAGAAAATAGTTAAGGTATTTAGAAATACATGCTCCAGTGATTTGCAAAGCTGTGGCCCTAGTGCTTATCAAGTGCAGTTTCATGTTGTGCTAATCTTAAAAGCCAGAAGAATCACTTTCATATTCTTCAATTTCATTTCCCATTGTTCCTGGGGAAAAAAAATCACATACTTTGCTTGTGCTTTCAAAATAAATACTGGAGGGGCAAGGTCAAAACAAAAGAAGCTCTAAACCGGTTGTTGATATGGTGCAGTAGAGAAACACCTGCAGACAAAATGAACAGTTAATATAGCTACTCACATCACAGGATAGTGATGATTAGCACACTCAAATTTCTGTTTGCCTTTCTGATGCAGGTGAATAAGCATGTAGCTCGGCAGAATGGCAATTACTTTAACAGGCTGCCAAAGATAACAGACTCTATAGAAAAGCAAAGGGGCAGGTGCAGGTAGAGTGTGCATACGTGGTCTGGGGTGTGCATATCAGAAACATCCTCTGGAAGCTTGCTTGCTCCATACCCTCAGCCACACCACATGGTGTCTGCCCTGTCATGAGCTTCCGCACCATACAAGGGCTTAATTTCTCTTTTCTTTTTTACAGGAACTTCTCTGCTAGCTCTCGTAATTCCTGTTTCCTTTGGAATATTTGTTAACCACAAGTGGCCTAGTAAAGCAAAAATTATACTTAAGGTGAGAGACATATATAAGGCTGAAGCATAAGCAATTATGGGCAAATTATGGAATCAGTGGCACCACTGAAGCAGTACTTTGCTATTCATAGTATTAGTATCTGACTTTATAAGAACCAGGAAGTTTTCTGCAGAAAATAAATGAGGCATTGTGGAAATATATTGCTTTCCCCCTGCACAAACATGCATGAGTTGCATAGATTATTAGAAACCATCATTATCTAAAGAGCCTACTTTTGTCTTTGGCTAGTTGGTAATTGAGTTCAGTATATAATGTAAAGTGAAATTGAAAGGAAAATAATTCAGGTCAACTGGAAGAAGTTTTTCTCTGCAAAACAATAAAAAATTAAACCATTCTGGATCAAAAAACCTTTATTCTTTTAAACCAGTGTGTTGATTTTTTTGTGGTTCAATTTTGAGTGGGAAATTAATTTTTATTAAAAAAAAATAAATTGAGAATATTCCAACTCTTAAAAAAAACCCCAAATTTATTCACAAAATACAGCTATCTTTGCAAGATGGTTTCAGATGCATCAAAAATATAAGGGTTTTGGCAAAAGCTGTTCTCATCAAAATAAAATAATTAATAACAATAATTTAGTTGTATTTAAGGTAATAGTGAATTAATCATTCTGAACCTTTGGTTGCCAAATGTGCTGAGGCCCCTTGACCTCTTTTGACCCTTCTTAATTAACAGATATATTATCTAAATTTTCTTAAAGAAAACTACTCTGTCCATTTGTTATTCTACCTATCTTTTGTTATCATTTCTTTTCTATCAGCTCAGGCAGCACAAAACAAAAATAACACCTTTTTAGTCAATTCCTTTTCTTAAAGTGCTAGCTTATCTTGTTGTATTTTTAAATGCACTTATTATGAACTTGGATACTATTGAGAGCTAATTACAAACCAGTACTATTTCTGTTTAATCAGTTAAGGGAAAAACGTGGACTTGCACTCACATGAAAAGAAACTCTACTTGATCTCTCGGCAAAGCACCATTTCATCCTCTTTCTTACTGAGTGGGTGAGCAATCCATAGAATGGTCCACTGACAATTTACTTTATGTAGGACGATGAAGCACCAAGGGAAGATTGAACCATAGCTGTCAGATTAAGACTCATATAGTGAGAAATTGAGATAAGAGCACAAAGACAATGTGCCGGGTGAAATAGAGGAGCTTGTCATGGACAGATCATGTTTCTTCTTCCTAGGTGCATGTGGTTAATAGCTCAGCCAAACAAAAACACTTGTTCACTCAGTGTTCTTAAAAAGGTTTCAGCCAAAGACTGATGAAGCCAGTAAAATGGAAATACATGTTTTAGCTGAGAAATAGATTCTCCTAAGCTTAGCCTGAGAAGTCTGGCACTGGGATCCCTGGCAAGATATGCCATAACAGCAGACATTTCACTTGGGTACTGAGAAGAGAATGAGTTATGACTTTTTTTTGGCAGGCAGCAGTAAAGATATCGATACACTCAGCCACGGGAAATAAGATCAACTTCAGTGATTAGGTCTATGTAGAAGTGTTATACAACCTCACAAGTAGTTTTCAAGCATGAATTTTCAGCCACGTTGAAGATTTACTCCTGTGCTTGGCAAATAATTTCCTATCACTAACTAACAATCTAGCGTCTAGTTAGCATACACTGTAATAAGCCCCAGAGTGTGATTGCCCAAGGGTGGGGAGGAAAATGCATTATTCCACCTATTTGGCTATTGGTTTCCCAACAACTCTGGGGAAGTTTTTCTGATATGTGCACTATTCCTCATTTGCATCACACCTGTGAAATTATTTTCAATATCAGTTCTAAGTACAATAGTCACAGCTTCAAAACACTAGTTTTACAGGTATCTGCTATAGATAAGTATACTAGCTGTGCCTTGATCTATATCTGTAGTCACACCTTGAAGTACATCTTAAATCTCTTGTTTGGGAAAAATGGCAGCTATCTAATCTCTCTTCCTGCTGTGAATTGCATTGCTGTAAACATTGGATTTCATGTTTAGTAAGATGTTTCAGTGACTCAGGGACACTCACAGGCATGTTTGACACCATGTTTGTTGACAGGCCATTAAATTTCACTGGGCTCTCCTATTCATGCAGTCCTTCCTCTTTCCCTTCACAGGTCGGTTCCATTGTGGGAGCAATACTCATTGTGCTCATTGCTGTGGTTGGGGGAATACTCTACAAAGGCTCCTGGGTTATCACACCCAAATTATGGATCATTGGCACCATATTTCCAGCAGCTGGCTATTCTTTAGGATTTCTGTTGGCTCGCCTAGCTGGTCTGTCTTGGCACAGGTATGGAATTCTCCATGACGAAGACCTGTGGGCTTTTTTCAGCTGTGTAAAAAGTTTTTATGTAATGATTGATCAGTGCTAGGAATGTTCCCTAAACATTAGTTATGTTACAGTCACTCATTCTCCAACCCTGTTTCTGGAATAGTATGTGGAGATAAAACTTTCATTACAGATTCTGTTTACTGCAGATTCTGATTATAAGATTTCCTCCAGTCCTTCATACGTCTTTCCCTTGTGTGCCCCTTGTGTTACACTGCAAACAAGCGAAACAGAACTGATTTGTAAGTGGGTTGGGACTGCAGTAAAATTTCTCATGAAGACAGAGCAATCTACAATTTAGAACATCATTACAAGAAAGGGAGACAGTGACTGCCCTGTATGGCTTGAAGTGGGATCACAGTCCTTTACAACTGCTGAAATATGTGACCTGGTAGTAACAGGTGTATGACTTGTGGACTGTTTTGTTGACTGTGTGAGCTGAAAGATACAATTTTCTTGGTTATCCGTTACTGCATGTTTCTTGCTTATCCAGATTACTAAAAACCGTAAGGACCCACGGGCTGCTATTTCACAGCTGTCTTTGTATTATTTTCTTTAGATGTCGTACAGTGTCTCTGGAAACAGGCATGCAAAATACTCAGCTATGTTCAACTATAGTACAGCTCTCATTCAGTCCTGCACAACTTGAACTGATGTTTACTTTCCCACTCATCTACAGCATTTTCCAGCTGTTGTTTGCGCTGCTAATTTTAGGAGGTATAGTTACTTTCTATTACAGTACTATAATTATCATTATTTTGATTATCAGTTTAATTTTGCATGCATATGGAGAAAACAAGAGGGGATAAAAATAATCAAATGCAAAATACTTCAATAAATTATGACCCAAATGATTACAGGGCCCTGTACATAATCAGAAAGATACCGGGCTCAGTTCAAGATTAGAAAGACCCTTCTTTTAGCACAAGGAAGGGGGTATCCACCACCTACAGCTGGGCATATGAGAACACTGAACATGGGATTGTTATTACACGTGGCTGAGGAAGGCCAAATGCATCTTCTTGCACTGATCCAGGCTGTCTGTGCATACAACTGCCCAGGAGGGCCATCCCCACAACCATGCACAAACCTCCCTCCCACCAGCTGTTGAAAGAACAGGCATCAGCTTCATCAATAATGTCAGAAAATATCTTCCAGTAGAGGCAAAGTCCCTTTTCCCTCCCACATACACATTTCACTGCTGCTCCTACACCTAACCTAAGAAGGGTTGAGACCTTGTTGCTGTTACATACACATAAAACCAGCTGTGACTATCAAGTTCCCACTCCCAAACTAGCCATCCTCTCTGTCAGGAAATGAGGTGGGGACAGATGAAGCACTTCGTCCCAGCTCTGCCAAGCAGGACTCACATAGAGGTAAGAGTCAATTCCTCAGGCCCAGCCAAGAGCCCAAAGGCTTTCCAAGGGAGTCTGGCAGTACTTTTAAAAGTCACTGCACACTACAGGAACACAAAGCAGTCAAACACCAAATGCAGAATTTAAACTGTTAAAATCTCTAAATATAGTTTTCCAGTGATGAGTGACACGAAATGATTAAACATAACTTTAAAGAAACTATCTGGATGGGTTGGAATGTTTCAGCAGTATGAGGAAAGAAAATGTTGCATGGCTATATGTTACTACAGTACCTTTTTCAGGTAATTTTTGTAATTTCTATATTTAATACAAAATATATATTGATTCCCAGGGTACCGTCTTTACAGAAGATTCCATGTCAAAACAAAGACAGATGTCGAGAAAACAGAGCAAAAAGAGGATTCAACATCAAATGCTAAAATAAATGAAGGATTTGTATCAAATGAGACCAAATAGACACTTACCTCTGCTCCCACTAGCTGGAAAGATATAAAATATGTGGTTTACTTAAAACTTTTTTTTCACATGCTGTTGGTTTATGGAAATATTTAACAAAAGAGGTTCTGCTGATATTTTACAGTAAGATTTTAAAATTAACTTAAGAAAGATTTCTACTTTGATTTCGAGCATGGTTCCTGCCACAATAGTAGAATCTGGTTTTGAAGCTAATTCTTCAAAAATATGTAATGTTTTATTCTGGCTTATTTAAAGAAAGGCAGAATAAAGGTGGGCTATTGCTGAAAAACAAGCAGATGTATGTAACACCAAATCCAGCCCATGGTCCTGCAAATCCATCTGCTAGTTTCAGCCCTCACACTAAAGAAAGAGAAATCCTGTGAAAGTGCCTGAGCAGCAACAGGAGTTGATGTGGAAGATCTGATAAGGCCAAATATGAATCAACCATGAAATTGGAACAAGCCAATAGTGAAATAAAAGTTTCATTCAGGTCAGTGTGATCAGGCTAAAGTCATTGCACCTTATTAATTGCTTGAACATTAATTTATTCTAAAGCTATAATTTTAATAAGTACAAGGTACCTCATAGCTCTTTTTTTTCCCCAAAGTAATAGAAAGTAGCAGCATTGCATCTTCAGTCTGGGTCTTTTAGGTGCTGGAAACATGAAAAGAGAGACAAAGGTGAGAACATAAGCCTTGAGAAATTTTAGTGTGACAGGGTACACAAAAGGGTAAGCAGAGATTCTGGAAGTACAAGAAATTGTCAGCTTTTGCACTAAAAGAAAGGCATTTGAAAACCAATAAAATTGTCCCTGGTTCATCCAGGACTACTTTCACCAATCTTAACCATGAGAGAGCAGTGCTTGTAAAGAGCTATATATTTTTGTTATTTTATGAACTCAATAAAATTGAACTTACCAGATGTCTGTGACATGTAGAGACTGATGTAGTTGATAACTTTCAGATTTTATTTATATGAGTCACTAATAGAAATAATTGGTTACACAAATATATTATTTGTCTCTGAAATTTCAAGAGTACATATAGAAACCTGTCTTAAGTGTGTGGAGAAAACAAGTATAATTCTAAGAGAAACAGTGCAGTAAATTGCAGCTGTAATTTTTTATGGATACATTCAGTAACATTAGTTCTGTAGCTCATATGTAAGGAAAACATCCAGAGAACTTTATATGAATCAGTGAGAGTTTGATGGACCAAAAAATTCAAGAATGAGCCAACTATTAACACACAGAAAGTATCCACCTTTCTGTCATATTCAAGTGGACCTTCCAAAATGTTGTGAGTTAATGTGGCAGGTTTTTTACAAACAAAACTGAAATTGTGGAGTTTAAGTTCCCAATGTATAGTTTTCCACTGCTGCAGAAATGTGCCCAGTATTAAACAAAGAATAAATTATTTCTATCCACCATCTGTGGGGGAAAGGGTCTTGAAATGTTCCTGAGTTCTGGGAGGACTGAAGCTGCTTTACTTTTGGAGGGAGTTCCAAATGGTCAGACCCTCCAAGGAGGAGTTCAACACTTAGTGGTGTTTAGCACATAACAAGGCATGCTATGTTTTATGGAACAAAGATTAAACAGAACAATGTGGTGAAGACTGTTATGGAGGAATCATAAATGTGAAACAGCATATTCATTGAGAAAAGGATAAACTGTTGTTTGTGACATCTGTTCTAAAAAGCCTATTGTCTTGATCCTTCATTCATGAAAAAATGGACAGCAGAAGTTAGTTAGAATCATGTCTTTCTTACACACCAAGCTGCTATTATTCTTCCATGCTGAACTTCAATGTTTCTGTGAATATTTTAGGCAGATTTTGAAACGTATCAAAGAATAATTTTTTTTGTCTTGCTTATATTATGTGTGTGTGTGTATTTAATGCAACTGTATAAACATTGAACTAAATAAAGTCAGAAACTATTTATAATTTTGCCCACTGGAGTAATTTAAGGTGGAAGGAATTGAGACAAAAGCCTAACATACAGACAGAGTTTATAACTTTGAGATGTAACAAAAACAACTCAGATTATGTGTGAAATGGATATGTTTAATATCATAGAATCATAGAACAGTTTGGCTTGGAAGGGACCTTGAAAGTCATCTAGTTCAACCCCTGTGCAATAAGCAGAAACATCTTCAACTAGATCAGGTTGCTCAGAGCCTTGTCCAACCTGGTCAATCTTTTCCATGGATGAGGCATCTACCAGCTCTTTGGGCAACACAATGAAGATTAAATGAACACCAGATGTTATACTAGATACACCTTTTTTAATGCAGATGTGCACTCGAGGTCTTAGATAAAGAATGGAGGCTGCAGTTTTTGCAGCCATTGCAATTACATCTATCAAGGATCATATGTCCTAAGCTTTACACGAAGCAAAGCCAGTTCAAAGGTCTTGCCCAACAAATGCCTTTAGAGCACATCAAACCTAAAACAAAATCTCAGGGCTTGTTAATATTGTGAGAAGCGGACTTATGTTGATGGGGCAACTTCTAAATCTCCAGCTGTAGAAGTCTGGACAGCATCATTATCAGATCATCACTTTGTGAAGCTGTGGTGGGCCATCTCACAGCAATGTAAGGGACTATGGGGGAAGTTGTGTTCTCTCCCCAGAGGTCTCCAGAAAGATATTATGTGTCTTTGGCTGTCAGCCCTATAAATGCTGATATATGGGCTTCTCAGCTGAAGAAGTCTGGTGGTCTCCAGCCTTGCAGTTGTCCTGGTGTTGTCAAAAGGAAAACCCTGGCCTTGTTTAACCTGCTCAGGGTCATCTCCTCACACTCATCAGCGTGAAAATCCTTTCAAAGACAGGCAGTATAACTTAGTCACCACTTCTCATTAAACAGTCTTCTATCCACAGAAACAACATATGGATGGGACACTGCAGATTGTGAAATTTAAAAGCACGTGCAGTGATGTTCAGGCTAAAAAATGTCTGTTCTAATTAACTCTTACACATACTAGTAATCTCAAATTTATCACTTCAGACTAAGAAGTCATACAGATGCCTTTGCAATGCTGGTTCTCAAACTGTTGCAGTCAAAATGAGCTGAAGTATGCCTAAGGATAGACACACCTTAGAAGTTGAAATTACAGCTGAATGAAAGCCTAACTCATGCCAAGGTCTGTAATGTAAGGCCTACAAAGATACAACAGTCACACTTGCCAAGCCAATCTCTAGCCATAAATCTGGATATCAAACGTATTCTCTAGTCAGCAAAGAGAAGGAGACAGACCATCACAGAGTTAATCATGCCTACTCTCTCAGAATTGCCTGTCTTTATAAATTAAATTTAGATGGCCTGTCTTAGATGAAATAAATAAATTTTTAGTCTCAGACAGTAAAAAAAATTAGTTGAAATTAAATACATCTTTTTGTCTTCATTTCTTTTCTGCATAAATTTGCTGAGCAGTCAGTTTGTTTCCTTTAATGAGGAAGATAGGTTTTAGAGTTGAGAAAATGAAAACTATGCAAAATAAAGGACAGTATTATGATTCTAATCTTCTATTATATAACTTGTAATAGAACTAATTTCTCATCTGACCTAAAGACAGGTGGAAGAACTGTTTCTGTCATGTAGTGTGCTATGTTAGTTGGAAAAGAACGCAATTTGAATAGAATTAACAAGCAAATTGATTTGCAATTTACATTAAATGAGTTTCTTGTTTCAAACTAATCAGGTTATGATGTTCAAAACCTACTGTTATTCTCTGCCAGTCAGTATCATTTTTGTCAGCCTCAGAAATGAACTTATTTTTTGGCAGCCCAATCAATTAACATACTGTATACTTGATGCAAATGTAAAACAATAATAAGTATTCCCTAACTCCAAAGGAACAGACTTTCACTTCTAGGTATCTGACAAGAATCTGTTCTCCACAGGTTAACTGTATTGCTTGCTCACAACCAGAATTAAAGCAAATATAGGGTAACGGTCCCACAATCAAATGGTATCTAAGCAAGCCTGACTGGATTTTCCAAGCCAGAACTGAAGAGCAATAGAAGTAAATCTCTGCTTCTGTCTCCTAAGGAATATTCATCCTGCTCCAGAAGCATTAACACCTCAGTTAAGCTGAACACTAAATGAACTTAAAATACTAAATGTAAAAATAACTGTAACTTGCCAGGATATCCACCAATCTTCAAACTGGAATTGGAGAATATGGAAAATTGAAAGTTTTGAGGGAGCTTTAATGTGTTTTCATGAATAAACATGTGCTGTGGAATGGTATTATCCTCTCCATTTAATTTCTATTAAATTTAGCCATTGAAAAGTAAGTTTCTAGTATCAGCCTTTACACTTCCCTGAAAAGAAGTAGTCAGTACTGTCAGCAGGAAAAGATAGATTTTGCTCTGGAGAGCAACCCATTACACTCTTCAGACACCTGGTCAAGGACAGGAAGAATTCTGGAAGGAGACAAAGACATTGTAAAAAATAAATAAATAAATAGATAGATAAATAAAGTTCCATGAGGACATTCCAAACTATGTCTATATAAACAAAGAGCATACAAAAAACTATTAGTGATATCTCTACTTGCTCATAATGGACTTAATATAAAATTAATTAATCAATTCCCAATTTCTCTTGAAAGATCATAAATCAGCCTTCTACCTCAGATTAGGATTGATTATGGAAAATGTGAGACTTTGGAAGTACCAAATTGAAATAAAGTTCACAATCTTTTGGATTTCAATTAATTGGGGATTCAGCCATGAGGACTGGACTTTTGCTTTTCCAATAACTCACCAACTGAGAAATCCTTTGCAATCACACAAATACTTTAAAACTTCAAAGAAAGGGAAAAGAAAACTCAACACTGGAGAAAACTCTTACTGACTGCAAGATGGAGTTAATCAGTTCCTTTAAGTAGTTTATCCCCTGGTTACTATATGTCTAGGATAATGTTATAAAAAGGAACAATTTCTGTTCCAGGCAAACAGAATCTAACTGTTTTTCCTTAGAGCACACAAAGCTTATGCACAGTTTCTCATTCACTGCTGTTTTTCTTGAACATATATTAGCATCTTCATATCTTATAGATATAACTTAATTGCTACAAATGTTCTGATTAGGTCTGCTGATCAGGTATCATTAAGGTAATCTGATACATTCTTTTATATATGACTGCAGACCTTCTGTCTCCTTCTTCTGCAATGAGTTTATGTATTACTCATTTGGGAGATTTCATCACAGTTTTTAAAAGACACTTTCCCCCACATGAATTCGAAATAGAAGCAAGGAGGTCATATTGAGATGGTAAGGCCCTGTTTAAGTAATTTGATGGTACAATTAATTCCCCATAAGTGGAATTAACTGCAGGGGATTAATGAAAATGTCAGGGTTACAGGTTGTGCTGGTGATGTGTTTCTAATGTCAGTAGTAAATCTGCTGTAGGTAGAACACAAATTCTTTCCACATAAGGCTCTTTCTTTAAAAATGGACCCTGAACTCATAAAATAAACCACAGCTGATATGGAAGAATTTTCCATAAAAGTGCACCACTGAGGAAATAGAACAAAACATACAGCTTACCTAGAAGAACATATATTTCAGTTTTAAGATATCCAATACTTGTTTAAAAAAATTATACAATTAATGCATAATATCTAAAAAATAGTCTTAAGAAAAAAATGGAAAAAACTGATTTGTGGGCAGCAATTATCAATTTAATATGATACTTAAGGTAAAGCTCAGATAGTCCTTTAATAGTTGTTTGCTGGAAACTGTCCATATCTCTTACACACTTTCTCTAAGCACCTGCTTGTGTCATTGCCAAGCTAACTGGAGCTCTGAGGTTCTTGTGTCTGTTTGTGCAGTCCTTTTCAGTAATCATTAAATCCAAGGAAAAACACAAGCTGTGTTCAAATATTTTGCCTATTGAAAGGGAAATGACATCTGAGCAGAAGGACAGAACTGTCTATACTGAAATGAACAATGTGGTCATAGGGGGGACAGGAGAAAATTCAGAGGAAATTATTTTATGAAGACATATCTAGCTGTCTACAGAGGGAACAGTCGTTACATTAATTACTTTCTGTCTATTCTGTACCACTTCACGCATTCTGTTGTGTTTTTCAGAATTCTTCCACAGAAACTATTTCATACGCAAATA